AAACAGAATGACTCAATTATTTCTTAGAATTTGGTAGAGTTTGTCATGTCCCCACTTTCAGAACTGTCTACACAAGAAATTATTTTTAAAAGAATAAATAGAAAGCCTAAAAATCATCAGGGAAAATCCAGTATTTGATAATTTCCAGCTAGCATTCTCATTCGCACAGTGATTCTTACACATTCTCATCACCTTCTTTTTAGTAAGCCAAACACCGAGCTTTTTAAACACAGCAGTCTTTAGCCCCAAGCAGATTTGCTCCTAGTGCTAATATCTATATTCGGTGTCACCAAAAGCAGTCAGTCTAGTAAAGAAAATCTTTCCTAATTAACACATTTTGTCTAACGAACACAATAAAAACTAGAAGGAGTGCCTAATTTTTCCAACTCCTCTTTTTTTCCCCATAGAGCTTAGCAGAAGAACCCTGAAATTAGGAAGGCTATGCCTTCCCTTCAGATAATTAAGAAAGTGAGAGCAGTGGGGACTCCAGAAACTGGCTTGGTGAGAACAGAATCCGAAAGCAGAGAGGAGCAGGCAGAATAAGAACCAAATATGAGCAAAAGAGAGCGAGCAACCAGGCCAGGCCTAAAGAAATGCCTCAGGGTTAACAAATTCTACGGGAGATTCTGCAATTCTCTTTTTATCTAAGTCAGCTAGACCAGAATTGATTCATCCCAGGTAAGTTTTGGGAAGTCAACAAATTGTTGTGAGCTCAGCTTTCACATTTACAAACTTGGGAGTAAATGATTCCTAATTTGCAAACTGTTAAAATAGTGTATCTAGAAGAACTGGTTCTGTGTTTGGCACACAATGAACACTCATCCCTGTTGTCTTCTTGCCCTTTTGATGGGCCTTCTAAGTCTTCCATCACAGGTGTTCCTGAGGTTGGGGAAATTGCTGGAAATGCTGTTGACTGTTGAAGTTTTATGTTTCACTCTTTTAGCTCCTAAAGATGGCTTGGTACTTTGAGCTTACAGGCCTTTTGTTGGAGAACTTGGATTAAGCTGCTTTTGCACCTAACGGTAGCATTTGAGGATTCAATGAAGGAATGTACTCAAAAGTACTCTGTAAACATTTGTAGGTGTTTGTTTGTTTGCTGTTTGCTTGTTTGAATATTTCAGAGATTTGGAGGTAGAACTGGGATTTTGGCCTGGGATTCATTTGATTTTTGATTTTTAAGGTAGCTCGGAGGCATATCAGATTACTTAATTGACTTTATCCTGGATGCAAAAGATATTGAACTTCATAAGAACCATTTATTTCTGATCTAAAATGGAATCTGTAATTTTCTGCTCTTGGCTGCTGATATGCTATAGCTTTGAAAATTTATTATTTATAATGCAATGCTACTTTGTACTTGATTTTTAGAGTTAGATTATGAATTGTGGAGCCCTGCACTTTTGATTTATAGAAAATCAAAGTTATTTGGGTCAGGTGACTAGACAAATGTTGAGTGAAGTCATGAATTTCAATCTCTGACATCATTGTTGATTTAATTGTTTTGTAACTAAACAGAAACATTGTCTGTAATTTTAGGAAAAAGAAGTCATTCTATAATTATTTGAGAATAATCATGGACACGTAAATGGATTAGCATATTAAAATTAAGCGTAAAATGGCCACAGGCCTGTTGGAAATGCCTTATGCATTACAGGGAGCTTCTCCAGCTTTTTCCCAAGGAAGTAAACCCAGGTCTGGAATATTCAGAGAAGCAACTCAGAGGAACTGAACAGACACTTCTCCCTAGAGGACATTCAAATGACCTACAAACATATGAAAAGATGCTCAATATTGCTAGCTATTAGGAAAATGCAAATCAAAACCAAAATGAGATACCATCTCACACCTGTTAGAATAGCTATAATCAACAAGACAAATAATAACAAATGTTGGAGAGGATGCAGAGAAAAAAGAACCCTCATATATTGCTGATGGGACTGCAAATTGGTATGCAGCCACTATGGAAAACAGTATGGAGGTTCCTCAAAACACTAAGAATTGATCTACCATATGATCCAGCAATCCCTCTACTAAATATTTACCCCAAAGACTTGAAAACCCATATCTGAAAAGATATTTGCACACCAATGTTCATAGCAGCAGTATTTATGTTGGCCAGGACATGGAAGCAACTAAAGTGTAGTATAATAGATGACTGGATAAAGAAGCAGTGGTACATATATACAATGGAATATTACCTAGGCATAAGAAGAGATGAAATGCTGCCATTTCATCTGGATGGATCTTGAGATAATCATGCTATATGAAATAAGCCAGACAGAAAAAATTGAAAACCACGTGATATCACTTATATGTGGGATATAAATCTAAAAGTAATAAACGAACAGGACAAACAGAGTCTCATGGACATAATAGACTGGAGGTTGCTGGACGGTAGTGGGGATAGGGGATGAGAGAGGCAGGTGTGGTCAAAGGAGTCAAATATGTGGTGACAAAACGAAATCTAACTATGGTAGATGGTTACATAATGTAATATATATATATACATATATATATATATAAAATTTACATAAGTCCAAATT